AGTGCGGACACGCTGTGCCTCCTGTCTGCGGGTGTCCATCCGGTCACCTGTTTGCCGTCCGTCAGCCCTGCCCGTGCCTCTGGCTTTCCGCCGAGTCGCTGCGGGAGCTGCGAGAGGGCGTGACTGGAGCTGTGAGGCGTGTGCTCTGCGTGCTGAAAGCCTCTGTCATCACCGTCACGCGGATTCCCAGTGGCCATCTCTTCCCCGAAGCGAACTCTCTGTCGTTGACGGAGTGTCCCTCCTGGCTCTGGAGATTTGTCCGAGTCTGTTTTGTCCGCTGCTGACGTGGCCGCTCGGCGCTGGGCTTGCTCTCCCCCTGTCTGCACCGTTCCAGCTGCAGCATTAGGTGGTGTGAGGCCTGGCTTTTCTTACACCCACGCTCATAATCTCTGCTTTTTCCCTGGGGATTCTGGACCATTCACGTGTAAGGTACTCACCGCTGCGCCCGTGTTGTTCGGAGTCCGTTCGTGGAGCCCTCTGTTATTCCGGTCACGTCTCCCTGCATCTTTTATAGTTAAAAACGGTTTAGTGTTTCCTGTTAATTATCCTTTTGCTCCTAATTATCCATCCTTGTGGGTTTTTTTACAGGTGGCTTTATGGGGTAGTTTTTAATTTACCTTTTGTTTTTAAATTTTATCCGATTGCATGGTGATCAGATATCTTCTGAATACACACACACACACACACACACACACACACATTTATTTATTTATTTATTTATTTATTTATACATGGAATTCATGCACCCAGGTGGAGGGGGGACTCGGGGGGTCCCTCAGCCTGGCCTGCAGCCTCTCGCAGTTTGGGACCCCTCGGGGGGGTGACCCTGATGGCTTAGGCCTGCTCCCCGGGGATCGGCCCTGAGCTGGCAGTCAGGCGTCTCTCGCCAGCCTGAGTGTGCCTCGGGGGACGTCTGACTGAGGCTTAGGCCTCCTCATGGGAGTGGCCTGAGCCGCAGTCAGAGCCGTAGCAGAGGCGAGGGGAGAGGCTCCGCCACGGCCACTGCGCTGACACTGTCAGCCTGGCTGTGGCTGAACA